GTCTCCCCAAAAAGCTCTGAATAAATCTCTCTCCAAAGCTCTCTGAATTCTAAAATCTAAGATAAAAGACAACAATGGCTGAAAACCTAATATATAGAAGCTAAAACACAAGCTGGAACATTCTTGTAAATACTGGAACTTCGGAGCCAATTCTGCAAATAATCCTCCATCTTTTAGAAAACCATCGCGACTCCTTCCTCTACGGGCGTCACCCTTGAGTGGTGACGAGCGTCACCCAACTCTTTATTCGCCTTCCGAGTTGCACACTTTGTGGATGCATCTTGAAATGCTCCAAAAAGCTCCATAATCTCCAATTATGCTACAGACATGCTATAACCTGCAAAGACTCTATTAGGACTCTAAAAAGACCAAAAAGACTCAATAAAAAGAACTTCTACCATGGTTAAAAACCATAAAACCATGATATATCAATGCCTTTACAAGGATTGTCAAAGTTCTCTGATTTACAAGGAATGTCAGAGTTCTCTGATTTACAAGGAATGTCTGAGTTCTCTGATTTACTGAAAGTCGTCTGAAAGGAAATACTTTAATGTTTCTTTTCTTTTCCTTTCTGTAACAACATTACCCGGGAGGATTTTAATCTAATATAAATTTATTTTATTTTGACGTTTTTACCGGGGTTCATGACTGTTTTAGTCAAAAGGATTTTTGTCGAGGTCTTATAACTTTGTTTACGCACAATTGTCTTTTTATGGAGCGCTAATCTGGCCAATCTATTTCTTTAGTCGAGTATGCGTAAACAAATGTCTTTGTGAATTGTTAGGGTACTTTTGGCCATAATACGCTTCCTCTAGCGATTTACGCAAACCAACTATTTGGTTACCATGGAGCACTTATTCGGCCCTTAGGTAGATGCGAAGGTTATCTGCTCGGCTTACTTCTACTTTACAACTTCAAGGTCGAACACAAGGCATGTAGACTCGTTGATTTCTGCCGAAGTTTCGTTTATGTATGACCAGGAGTTGTGCGAATTTGGTCTTTGGCTTCTTCCTTTAGATTTTTTGGAAGTAATTAAATTGAACCAAAAAATCATAAGGGAGTGGTGATCAGCCATAATATATTTATTTTTTTATTTACAGTCCAACGTTTGGCCAGAACGTGGACTATGTTTGGGGAGATGGGATGACTATCTCTGCTGCTCTGGCGATATTGCTTGTGAATGTTGTCGAGCTGGAAATTATTGATAAGAAGAGAATTTATTAGTTTATTGTTGACCCCGGTAAAGGACTGCTACGTACCCAAATAAGGGATCAAACCATTCGTAGTTCATGTTACATATTAAGATCGTTGGGCCATTAGGCCTCTTTTTTTTAGAATTTGTTCATTCATCTCGATTATTGGGTAGCATGCCGAGCTGAGACTTCTTTCTTGGCTGCGGCAGTTTGCATCCTGTGTTCACTTATATAACACAAACTAGTCATTTGCTGGTTACCACGCAGTGTGTAGATACCGGATGAAGTTGGGAACTTCATGTACTGGTGATAAGTAGAACGATTGCCTTCATCTGATGGATCCAAGGTGTCCCAAGGATCGCGTTGTAGATGGCATATTTGTCCATTACTGTAAATTTCATGATTTAGAGATTCTGCCGACATCGATGGTGAGGCGAGTTGTACTGATGCTGGAGATGGATTCGCTTGTGAATCCGGTGAGGGGTTTCGGAGCTGCTTTGATATCTTTGTCGTAGATGCCCATCTTGGCCAATGTGTCTTTGAAGATGATATTTACAGTGCTACCTCGCTGTCGTGGATGTGAAGTTTGACCACAAGGGGATCGTTATGGGGGGTGTGGAGGCCTAAACTGTCATTTGCCGTAAAGGTAATGGTGGCTTCTTAGTCGGGTCAGCGGGGGTATCTTCGAGAGGCTTCGGCTTTCCTGTCGTAGCTTTTGATTGTGGGGATCGAGTCATCGATGTCGGAAAGTCCACCCATGATCATGTTCACCCGTCGTTTTGGTGAAGGGAGGGAACTCTCCCAATGTTCTTCATCTTGCTCTTCTCGGTCCGCCCGAGCTTCTTTTTTGGTAGACTTTTTCGGCGAAGGGCTTCGGTGGGGATTCTGATCAGTGTCTCGTCGATCGCTATTACTGCTTGACGTCCATTGTTCGATCGCTGCTAAGAGTTGCTCCTCTTACTGTAGTTGGGGCGAGGCTACTCTCGCTTGACTTTGATTTCCTCGACTTTGTACTTCTGGTACAAAGAATCGTGTAGATGGCTACATGAGGAGGACGAGTGTCAATATCGCTCATCGAAGGTGCAGTAAGCTGTGGGATCGTCATCTCTTTCCGAGGTGCTTGTTTGGGCAGTACGATCAGAGTTGGTGTGCAGCTGTTCTGCCGGTTCGCTTATGGCATGTGATATCATATTACTTCGGTCACCGCGAGGCAGTCCAGGAATGTTTTCGTAGTCTTCATCAGCATATTTTTTGGTGCACAGCCTCTTGTTTTCCTCGATCTTTATGAATGTTTGGGCGTAATGTAGTGACTTCTCGAGTGTCCTCTATGGGTTTTTCCGTAGCTCGACATTTAAGTCGGACTGGTACCATACTACCATAGTCTGTTTTTGAGGGCTTGCAATCTGAGTTCATCGGGAATATTTTTATAAGAGATGACGGCTTTCTTATATTTCTTAATGTAGTCGCGAAGTGACTCGTTTCGTCCTTGTGCTAAGGTCAGTAGGCTGATATTAGGCTTAGTTATCAGGACCGAGCAATGCTTCAAGAAAGCTGTAGAGAGGTCCTCATAGCGTTTGACGTAACCGGGGCTAAGGTTGGAGAACCACTTCAGTGCGTCTTTATTCAGATATTTCACACAAGGTTTGAAAGTAGTTCGCCTCTCCCTCTCCGGCCAAGCTGAATTGTTGTCGATTCATGGCGATCTGGAAGCTAGTGAGCCAGATCTGGGGGTTCTCCACCCTGGTATAGTAATTCAGCTTCAATTTGATTGCAGGGCCGAGGCATACGTCAGTAATGCAGGGGGCGAGGCGTCACTGTGTGTCAGCCAAAATCTTACAGATTTCTGGAGCCGAGGTTGTCGCTTGATGCACCTTAGATCCGATCGCATCAATTTGCTCATGAAGGCTGGCGACGTCGATATTGGTATAACTTGGACGGGTCGAGTCTCGAGTCCCCCGGTGGCTGCCGTCGTTTTAACCTGGCTGGAGGGGGTCCTTAAAAGCCGCCGCCCTATTGGAGTGACATGGCCCTGGGTGTCTACAGCGAGCGAGTTGAGTTGCTCGTCATAATGGTTTTGGTGGCCATTCATGACATCAAACTTGTCGGAGAGTGTTTAGAATATCGGCTGTAGGATGGATTGCATGAGGGCGACCAGTTCTGCAGAGTTTGGAGGAGCGGGAATGGTTGGAGGTGGGTCTTGGGGCGTTCGGCCTTCGTGTTCCCCGGTGGTAGTCGGATCGTCGATTGCTGTTCCTTCGTTGTCAAGCATTGGAGGTTGGTTCTGTGTCTCATTATTCGTATTATTTGCCATCTTTTAACCCTAGCCTTTTAGAAGTTATTTTTCTAATTTCCCTACAGGCGGCGCCAATTATTGAATCAGAGATCCACTCAATCGAATAAGTAAATAACAGTTTGGGAATTTATAGAATAAGATCTTTATTAGCTTTGGGTATTGAGATTACAACAAAAGGCAAGAACAGGATTGTTCTGCCGAGGTAAAAATAAAAGCTCCTAAGATTCGAATAGAAAGCTCTTAGTAATTTAGGTCTTCTCTTGATGCTCTCTCTCAGGATTTTTGGATTAGATTCCAAGGTATAATTCCTTCTCTATTTATATTGATAGGAGATCGCTTCCATCGAGCTTCTTTCCTTTTCTCAATTGGAAAATCTCATTTTTCTTAGATTTAGGAAGTTTTCTTTATCTCAAATCTTTTTCTTTTTCTTCTGGCTGTGCGGTTTCAGATAATGACATTCCATTTTTGATGAGCTCAAATTAATGTACAAAAGCCTTTGTAGAATGTATGCATTCTCCTCTCTAAAATGCCAAAATTTATTCTGATAGAGAAAGTTGTTATTGAAGTGAGTTTTAGTTATGTGCTTTTAAACATAAACAAATAAATCTAAGAAAAAAAGAAAGAGAGATCAATCAATTAAAAAAAACAATTTCTTTTATTATTATGATTTTGGTGATACAAAATTAAGTGATCAATATTATAGTTATGTAAAAGTGTAATATGGATCGGGTGTGTGTAAAATGAAATTTTCAAACACAATTGGCGGCACATATGATAAAGGCTAAACTTATTAGAGAAGATAGAGTTTGCCAAATGGTCTTACATCTAAAGATGTTTGTTTCACCGCCAAAAACTAGGATCCCATTCAGAATGAGACATCGGCAATTTTTTAAATCTTATTTTTGCAATGATTATAAATAAAAGTGAGAGATAGACATTGTAGAAAATTGAGTTTTTCTTGTCAATACTAATATTTTCACCTAAACAGTTATATGTAGCTGTTTCTGGAGTAATATCACGGTTTGGTTTGAAGATTTTAATAACTAACGAGAAAAGAAAAGAAAAAAACAGACAATGAACATTGTCTACAAAGAAGTGTTCAGAACATCTACCATTTCTGTTTAATTTGAATTTTTCTGGTTTTATGTGTTTAATTAGTTTATCTGTGAGATCTGTGATACAGTTAAAAAAAATTATACACATATTTTGATATATGTTTTATTGGATTTTGTTTTAATTCGACTTATTTGCAAGTTCAATAAAACAAACTAAGGTTTACGACTATACGAAATCAATATCTACTACATCAGCTACTATCTGGGCTTCTTTACAATAAATCACGCACTCTAAATTCATGAGTTCTCTTGTGGTGAGTTTGATCGTTTACATTCATTAGTTCCTTGGAAATGAACAATACAACTTAAACAATTTATTTGTAGATTATTTGGTCCGCGCCTTGCAGGGACATCACACGCCTAATAATAAACTAGTTATAATTAAGAAAACCATAATATGAAGACAACGCCATTGTCTTCGGAGTAAGGATGCGCTGCATCATAAGATGATTATAAGACTAATTGTCATAATTCTCTAACTCATGAAAATCAGTGGACAAACACAAAAAGAGAGGATTTGGTGTCTTACAAGTTTCACAATTCCTATCTTAACGTTAACACTTAACACTATTGCCTGCCTCATCCTTACACAAAAATATCTTATTAGGATTTAAAGGCATACACTTTTCAGTTATAAAACTGATTCAAGCTGAAGTAGCTCTCATTAAACTGCCCTACACCGTTTCTGTGCAGACCGGTCGGGCCTTGGACCGCTGGTGCATCCGGCTGCCAATAGCCGGACACCGAATTGAGTTGAGTCACAGACCGGTTAGCCACGGTTTGGAGGTTGCTTGTGGGATGGTGGTCAAGGGAAAACCGTCTTGGTTGGTCAGAGGAAACCCATGATGTTGAATTTGACAGAAGAGAGAGAGCACCATCAAGATCTTGAGAAGTACCCATGTGTGAAGAGATTGTGACCTTTTCTAATAAACCCGCACAAAACACGCATCATCAAGATTATGAATAGAGCAGATGAAAATGTACAAGAACCAAAAGAGAAAGAAGAAAGAAAACAAACCTTTGCTGAATAACTCAGCTCTTGCGGTCTTCGTTTTGGGGTCCAACAATCCAAATCCACATTGCTCGGCGGATCTTGCGGGTTGCGGCAATAACCCTCTTGATGTTATGGGCTTAGGCCATAGAAACTTTTCCTCACTTCTTGGATGGATAAGTGCAAATCTGTTCCATACAAAATCCATCTGTTGTTTCCCATCTGCATACACACAATGACAAAAGCATCTCCAAAGTCTCCATCAATGTGATTGTTGTGAACACCAAAACTAACTTGAAATGATAGTTTTCTAAAAACTAATACTATAACTCAACTATAGCCAATTTCAGATTCATATAAGGATCAGAGATAAATGATTGTAGTATATATACCATATGTTCTTCCAGCATTTGGCTTGCGACGTCTTGCATTATGATCTGAGAGACGCCGACGACAACTACGTTTCTTCTCATCAAACTCAGAGAGACAATGGAACCTTTAGAGACCAAAGACCATAAAAGTTAAAGCAATTTGCTAACTGATTAAACCCATTTTGTTTCTTAAGAAAGGTTCGTTTTTTACCTGCTACATTGTTGGCAGAACCGACGTTCGACACCACTCACAACGACTTTAGGAAACTTTGAATGGTTTTCGCAAATCCTGTGTTTCCTATGATAATCTTTAGCTGAAGAGAGATCAAGATTACATCCTTCAACTTGGCAATGAGGTGTTTGTGGCCTCTGAGAAACAGATTTCGATCTCTTCACCGGAGAAGCAGAAGCTGACGCTAAGCTCACTGGTAGAGCAGAACATTTCGCATTCTCCACTTCCCAAAAGTCTTCAAAGTATGTTCTTTTACCAAGCTTTAAACCAAGAACCGTATCACCAGACCCAAAAGAAAGTTCAAGACTTGGAGAAGTATCGATTCCTTTGGCAAACTCTTCACTGCTACCCAATTCTCCACCAGCTTCTGATGTGAAATTGTATGTTTTCACTTCAGCTGATGAAGAGCTAATAGAAGTTGACTTTGAGCTTTTGGAGAATGCATGAGCTAGATCAGAATCTGAACTACCACCATAAGCTGCTGCAGCAAAGCTTGAAGAATAAAGAGAGGTGCAATCAAAACCATCAATTTCCCAATCCATTGGTCGTAGCTTTCTAGGAATTTCAGCTGATGAAGTACCAAAAGATATTAGATTATCCCATTCCCACTGCAACGATGGCTTCGCATTACCCTCCATTCAGGCCACTGGCCACTAAAATCTGAAAAGAATCAAAAACTTTTCATAAGAGACTACCAAGAAAATGCAGGAAAAAGCATTCAGAAATCGCAAAGAATAAACCAAAATGTAGAAAGAAGTCCACAATTCTAAATTGTCAAACATATGGATTCTTGTTCGAAAGCTACTTATGTATAAAAGAGTAAGAAGACAACTAGACCATAGCACTTGGTTTCCTCCTTAAATTCTGTTGGAAAACAGACCTAAAACAAGAGCAATAAGAAAAAATGAAAAAGATTGATGTGGCTTAGAGAAAATTTCTATTACAAAAGTCAACTTCCTATTCTTTTTGGGCAGATGTTAAATCCTCTGTTTATTCTGGTTCTGGTTTGTACTTATGTTCTCTGATTTGCTCAAATCTCTATACTGTCCTCTGGTTATTCTAGTTCGTATTGTACTTAAGCTCTCTGATTTGCTAACATCTCTAAACTGTTAATCCTTTTTTGGAGAACTAAAAGGGGAGATTTGCTTTCTAATCAATAACCATAAGAGAAATACCAAAACCAGATCTCTAAGAAGCTCCTTATCTTCCACTATTTTATTACAGAACCATAGTTTCAACAAGCAAAATCAACTTTCAAAGTCAAGAGCAATAAAACTCACATATACAACTAAAGCCTGCAAAAGTACTATTGACCTAGGAGAATTTATTCATTTATCTGCTCTGTTATTTGCATAGATAAAAGGACAAAATCAAACACATAACACAAACACCAACATACCTAAAAAAAACTTATGGATCTCTCTGTAAGGTGAAACCAGAGGAAGAAGAAATTTTTGTTTTATAATATTTTGAGTGAGTAAGAGTTTCCATCACAATCTTCATCCACATTTATAACAACAACAACAACAACAACAACAAAAGATACCCTCATTTTACATCACAAAACTTTTTGCTCACCAATAATTCACATTCATTGAGTTTTGTGGGGGCAAAATCTTTCAAGAAGTAGGACCCTCCCTTTACCATTTCATTATCAAAAGCTGTTTACAGATGCGGATTTACTACTCTAGCTGTCAAAATCATCCCTTTATTATTACATTCCGTAACATTTGTCTACAACTTACTTATAACCTACCAAGGTTTGTAGATTCCTCAAAACATTTAAATCGATACTAGAATCAGAAATTCAACAAAACCCATAAGAGATCATGAACTAATATAGCATCAAGAACCCAAAATGATTCTTTTTGGGGGGATTATATAACCTCTTGCACATTTATTATGGAAATGAGATCTATAGTCTATAGAGCTAAAGGAAAATATCAACATTTCTTTTTAACCTTGTAGAGAATGTGGGGTTTTTGAAAGAAAAAAAAAACACAAAAGGCTATAATTTAGGGTTTTACATTCATAAATTAGATGCAAGATAATTGTCACTTTTTCACTCGCCATCCCTCTCTGATTATGATGCTATTTTGTAAGTAGTAAAAAAAGGAAAATGGAAATAAAGAAAAAATCAAAAGAGAGAGAGAGATAGAATAAAGTTAGCAAAATCTTAGCCGCAAATGGATGTCTCACCATTTATGGTAAAGAAGTTCTCCTCCAATATTATCTCATTCTAGTCACAAACTTCTATTTTTTGTTGCTCATCTTACTTAAGATACTAAGTAAATAACAAAAATCTCTACTTTAAGCTGTAAGATTTACAAGAACCCAACAAAAAAAATCTAATAAACAAAGATGTGTACCTGCCGATTAGAGAATTAGGGAAAGATCTCGTCGTCAATAGAGTAAAGCTTCCATTTTTGGGTTCACACAATACAAGAGAGAGAGAAGAAGAACAAGAGAGAGAGAGAGGAGAAATGAGGAGAGAGAGAGTGTGAGAGAGAGCATGTGGTGTGTGCAAGCGAAGTACCGAGTTGGGAGATGGGGAGGGGTCAAACTGCTTTCACCAGCTTCAACATTTTTGGACGATTCATTCATTATCGAGGAAAAAGCAAGATTATTTATTTATTTATAAAACTTTATGATTAAATAATAAGCAAGCAATTTTGATATGGAGAGGTTAATCTTAAAACATGTGGATTTTGGTAGATCAAAAGAGCGTAAAAATCAAGATAGCCCATGCTTTCAACTTCTGCTAATTGATTTTCTTATTCTTAAACTAATAATGCTTGATTCAATACTCTTTTAAGAGTAAGTTCTTGGGTTCTTTAACAGAAAAAAAAAAAGAGAGTAAGATTCTTGGGTTAGTAAAATTTTTTTTAAAACATTTATCACAGAAAAGAAAAGTTGGTTGGCGTTATCATTGTGCTGGAAGACAAACCGCTTATCAGGTATGGCTCAATTAGATTTATAAGTTATATAACCCCCTTGTGTTTTTTATTTATTTAAAAGTTTCCGACATAAAAGTGTATAATTTATTTTAAAATATTTGATTAAATATATGCATTAGGCAGTTCTATTGAGTATTGGTGTTTTTATTAATAAGAAAACCATTTTACCTGATAAGCCATCTTCACATATGTAAAACCAAAACCAACATAAGCCATCTTCAATATTTTGTTGTCAACAGTTTTATTTAAAATTTGTCAAACAGCCATCATTATTTAGAATGCGTTTGACCACAAATTAATAAATCAGATATGTGTTTAGGTAGTAGTTCAACCCCTCAGCTATTAGAGCAAATTGATATAGATGATATTGTTTTCAAGAAAAAGAATAAAAATGAAACAATCTAAAACATTTTGAAAAATCAGACATCTAATTCTACACGGTATTACTATTCATCAGCCAATTAGAGAAGACTAGATTGAATGTAACATTAAATGAAAATCTGAAATTATATGGTATTTTTGTTAAAAACAAACTTTTTAAAATGTAATCTTCTAAAATATTTTGAAAAATCAACCATTTAATTCTACACTAGGTGATCGGCCCGCACCGTGTGCAGGCTATAAAATATTTTATATGTTAAATATATGATTAATATTATATATTAAATATGCTTTATTTGTGTATGATTAATATTATATATTAAATATGTTTTATTTGTATATGATTAATAGTATATATTAAATATGTTTTATTTGTATATGATTAATAATATATTAATAATAACATTATATATACATTTAATAATTAAAAATAATAATAAATCAAATAAAAAATATTATAGATTTCAATAGAAATTGAAGATAAAAAACATTAACCCAGATTTTTAAAATACTCCAGTAGATAAAAAGTATAAATATGATAACTAAATAATCTGAAAACATTAAAATATATACTCTTTTATTTAATTTTTATGGTTGTAATATTTAAGTATTGATTAATTTCTTATACATATGTAAGTGTTTTGTTTTTATACATATATAGTTTTAGCGTTTAACAACAATCACACAAACAATTCATATCATTTTGTGTCTATAGAAAACTTATTATGTAAGCGTTACATTTTTATACATATAAAATTTTAGTGTTTAACAACAATCACACAAACGTTTCATATCGTTTTATATCTTTTAAATTTTTTTTTGTTTTTCCTAACGTTTAGTGTAACATATAATTATAAATGTAAAAGTTATATTAAATAATAATTAAATTTTTATCAAATATTTTGAATATTATCTATATTATATTTATTTTTTTCTTTGCACAATATAATCTTGTCAATATATATATATATATATATACTTTAAGTATACATTTTTTCTTGAACTATTGCTAAGTAAACCAAAATAGGTTTTACTATTACTACTTATCCTAAAAGCGGGTAGATGGTTGGTCTGCACATTCGTGCGTACCAACCACCTCATCGCTCTTACGATATATAAAGATTTTTTAATAAATACAAATTGACTAATAACTTAAATTAAAATTGGACTGTAATCGAGGGGTTAAGAAAATGTATGCACGACAAATTTGCATGCGACTTTGATTTTTGAACAATTAATATTTATATCTACCTGCATATTTGTGAAAAAAAATTGAAGTATGGATTTTATGTGTTAAAAGAAAATAACAATATATATGTTTTGTAATATGTATTTTTATAATGTATGATTGATTTTTTTATAAAAAAAAATATGTATATTATGCATGTAGGTATGAGTTATAAATAAGTGAATTGTAATATTTAGGTGCTGGTTAGTTTTTCTGAAATTTTCCGCAAACATTATGATTTTACACAACACAATTTTTTGGCGTTTAACTACAATCACGAAAACCGTTTCTAATGTTTTGTATTTAATCAAAATTTCTTATTTTTAATATTTTGTGATATATGGTTTCTCAATCAAAATTATATAAAGATTTATTATAAAATTTGTGAATTCTTATTTTATAAAATTCTTCGGTAGCTCTCTGCTCACCTCTTTGTCAAATTTTGTATAGCATGCAATCGTTCGCTTCCAAAACTCTATGTAACTGCAGCGTTTAAGCCAGCCGGTTCCTAATCTTATATGTGTATGGTTGAAAGTGTAAAATAATATATTTAATATTTAATTGTTATATTACAAAATAAGACTTCTTCTGTTCCTAACTTTGATATATGTGTTAATCTTATATATAATAGATCATAACATATACAAAACTTGATCATTGAAATAATATTTTAAGATGTTGAAAAAAAAATATGCATGAAAAAATTAATATGTGTAAGATAATATTTTAAATATTTCAATATAAAAATATAAAATCGATCAAAATTATTCTTTTTTTTGTCTTCTTTGACTCATATTTTTTTTCTTAACTTTGAATAATATATTAAATATTAAGATCATCTCCAATGTATTTTTCTATTTTTTCCTCTAAAATAGAGGTGGATTTCTCCTCAATATATTTTTAGTTTAATGGAAAAAAAAAGATTGTTACTTTTTCCTCCAATTATAGAAGAACAAATAACATCGCTATTTTTTTTCTCTAAATTAGAAGATTTAAAAGAAATGTGGGTTATAGGTATTTTAAACCAAAGGCATAGCCTGAGAGTTTTACAGAAAATCAAAGTCGTAAAAATTTATTTTTACTTTTAATTCTACTTCTTATTCATATGTTTATTTATACCAAATAAAATTTTTAATAAATATTTGTTATAAAATTTGTAAAATCATATTTTATAAAAAATTTCGGTAGCTCTCTGCTCATCTCTTTGTCCAATATTGAGGAATTGGTTTGATGAAGAAAATAAATTTCTTATGGTTGGTCTGTACGCATGTATTCATTATAAAATTTGAGCCACACATGCATTTATTATAAAATTTATTTCTTAATATTTTCAAAGGACTCCATTAAATAAAGTTTGAAAGTGTTACGGAAAAACAAAACTATAGAGATTTTTTTTTCTTCTACTTCTTATTCATATTTGTTTTTTCTTATTTATAATTTATTTTTTTATCCGGTTACATTGCGTTTTATTTCTGATCTCAAATTCTCGATCTACAATGAGACTATATATATGAGTAGGACTATGATATAAACTATTAATTTATTTTAAAAAAAGATAAGAGATAAAATAAAATGGTAATGTAAAAAATTCCAACATTATAAAATTCCAGAAAACAATAATATAAAAAATTTTAAAATTATATACAAATAATAATATATCATACTCCCAACATTATTAATATATAGCGTATATATTATCTTATTGGATAATCTCGTATTATTTTTCTATTTAAAAATTTTAAATATATATTGGTTGTAAAGTTTTTGTAATCATATTTTATGCAATATATTATGAATATATGTAAAACAAATTAAAATCATAGTAACTATTATTGTCTATTTATTTAAATTTATTATTTTTAGTGTTATAACCTAGTGTATTTATGTTATAATTTTATAATTTATTTAATTATAACTCATCCAATCAAAATATTTCGTTTATTTTAGGAAATTTGTCATGTCACAATTCCATGTCACCATTAATTTACACTAACTTTTGCTAAGGTGATGACACATCAGATTTTTCCATTAAACATGCTTCTCAAATAATAGTTAAGATGGTCAAAATTATCTAATGCCTTTTTTCGCTTAGCACCCTCAAGTTCGATTAGAGTCTTTCTATTTCCTAATCAGCCTTTTCAAATATACGGAAGGAATATTTCCTTGCCGTCCCATCCGAGTTTTTGGAAACTATCCAAACTGGCTCGATAATCTTCTTCCAAATTCTGCTAAATCAACCAAAAAATCCAAAAAAAAAATATTTCCTTAAGATTTGGAGTAGCGAAAGCTGTTTTTCTAGGGTTTTACGGGATATCATACCTTCTGCGACCACAATATCCCCAAAACCTACACAAAATCGAAGCAAGAAAATTGATTTTTTTGCTTGTGATGGACGGATCACTCAATCAGGCGTTACAAGCCATGACAATCGAAGAAGATCCCCTAGTAATGATTCCGGCGGACGACAGTTTCAGTTCAATGGTGAGAAGCGGACGTAGTCTCATCGGCAGACTCTTGGATCCAGATTGTCAAAATATGGCAAGGATATTGAGATCAATGCCGCGGATATGGAAGATCTATGAAAGAGTTCGTGGTATAGCGATATTTAAAGAAAATTTTCAATTCATCTTCTCCTTGGAATCTGATCTGGAAACGGTGATGAAGACAGACCTATGGACTTTTGATGATTGGGGAATGGTTATGGACAGATGGTTCGAGTTCCCTCCTCCAAACTTCCTGCACATCGCTCCAGTATGGATTATAATGCATCAACTCCCGGTCAATTACTTCACACTAAGTACAATGGATGCAGTCACCAGTGCAGTAGGCCATGTGAAGAAGATATAATACGACCCAGAAAAGAATAGTCTAAATGACTATATTTGCGCTTTGGTGATCCTGGATCTGACGCAACCAGCTCGGGATATCAAATCGCTGGATCTCCCCAACGGCACTAAAGCGATGATGGGTATAGAATATAAACACTTCAGGAAAAAGTGCTTTCATTGCCTAAGACTTACTCATGATAAGCAAAGATGCCCTTTACTGCAAAAGAATCGTAACAGAGAAGCAACTGCACACACTCAGAGACAGCCACGAGCGAACACAAGCTTTCAACCCCGACAACACCATGTCAACCTGGCAGAAAAGATCATGCCCTTATTAGCACCTTCAGCACCACCTGGTTTCCCCCCTCCAGCCAACGTGGTTATGCCAAAAGTCTTTGAGCAGATGCAGCTATATATGAACTGCACAGATCCTGCAGAACGCTCAATCAGAGAATTTCGGATGAAGAGAGTGCTAGAGGAACTCTCCCAAGACCCAGTGGCTCAGAGATTATACCTTCGGTTGGAAACACCTCCTTTGATCACACACCATCTTGATAGAGGGAAAGGGATAGCTGGA